GGTTACAAGAAAGGCGAACATGGAGTAATGAAAAGGAATTACCTTCACGAATGAAAGGCGGACTTCAACGTAGTTGTCCCGATCGTCACGCTTATGCATGTGCTCTATTCCAAGAGCGTGCAAGAGTTCATGTGCAGCAAGGCCCACCTTCAACAAGGTTAGGTTTAGTCTTCATTGGCACTAATTAGAAAAAAATGAGGATCGTATGAGCAAATTCCAATATTATTTATTCCAAACGCAATTGGTGTCGCGGATGCAACGGTAGCCGTTGGGCGCGCTGCCATCGGCGCTTGGTTACTGCGGCGTGCGTATGACGTGCACCGAAATTCCGCCTTCTGCGATCGTAGTCTGCGTTCTGTTTCGATGGTGAGCAGCCGGCAGCGCATAATGAGGCTTACGGCGTAAATAAGAGGAGAAATCGAGAGGGCAGGTCCCTTGTAGTGAGGGCAAATCCACGGGATCTACTGCCGTATGGGACGAATTCCATAAGCACGGCAGCCAGAGGGCAGAAATATGTTAAGCATTTCGTATAAACAAATGATGTGATGTACTCTTTGTAGTTCTTAATGGTTTGTGCCACAGTTACATCACTGAACGTTGTGTTGGTCAGCATACGGGGATAAGACGTTCGATGTAGCACGGTGTACCGCTGGTGAATGGGAGGACCATGAGATGGCGGGAGCAGCGGTATCCACTTATGTCGGGAGCAGGGTCCCAGTCCGCGATAGGTGGGACACAATTACAAGGTATGGATTTCAGCTTACCGCTGAACTTTTTCGCCTAAGGGAACAAGCGAAATGGATCATCTGTGCTTTGGAGTGCTTTCCTTTTCCAATATTTTGTTTTTTCTTCTTCTAATTCAAATTGAAACTTGGGTACATCTAAGAGTATCAAGTGTTGATTGCGAATATGCAGATTAAAGTATAACACTACGGGATCCCCAAACGAACCTTGGGTAGTCGAAGTTTTCTGAAAATGAAGTTTTGGCATGCAAGCAGTGCTGACCGGGGGACAGACAGCTAGCGCCACCGTGGCCTAGCAGTAATGGTCACGCCTCAAAGCCAGGAGGTTCCGGGTTTGTCCCTTTGTCAAAAGGTGTCAAAACTTCGCCTGTCACCAGTAAGCTATTTCACTCCAATTTTTGAAGTTTACGGAGTCAATGACCTAACAGAGCGAGTATTGGTCATCAGCCGCTCCCTGCAACATTCACTGCCTATCCGGCAGTTTGAACTTTCATCAGCATACAAATTTGGCCTGAAGCTTGTCGCTGAATGGCTTGACCTGCTGAATAGCATCACATCCGTTTAACGAAACGTCTAAAGCCTAAGTTGGGCCGGCGCTGGCCTCACGCAGTAATAAGACGCCCAATCCACCTGTCTTCAGGGGTGATTCACTTTACTGGTAGCGAATATTACGCCCCTTAACTTCCGTGAGCCTCGAAGGAGGCTGGGCACTTTTCACGTTGATATCGTTAGCAAGTGTAGAGTGACTGGCCGTCTTCGCTGTAAAGAGAAGTGGTATGCCTTTGTAGGGGGTCAAACAACCCTCGCTGACGAGCTTCTGGCTGAACTAAGATTTTTGCTCATACTTCGAATAGCCAGACAGATAGTGAGTGCCGGAAAGGCTATACTTGGAATCCCTAAGATCGGGTAGGCGTGGCCGCATGCTTCAACTCAACTTGAAGGTGCCCATTCTCCTAGTGGGATAACTTTCATCTCGAGAGAATCTGCGTTTGTCGTTGTCTCTGTCCAACACAGAACAAGATGACAGTTGTCCCAGACTGGAATATTCCACGAGTAACCAATTCCGTGCCATGTTCAAATGCCACGCCTACTCTGGCTCAGGGATAAGGAGTGTACTAATTGACTGACGTGACCAACCGATAGTTGGTGTGCTACACCACATACCCTTCTTGCTCTGCAAGTCAGTTAATCCGGAGGAAATCCGGTAGTGGTATCAATGCTCTCATTAGAGCAAAGCAATTTTCTCATGAACGAAGAACAAACCAGGAGGCTTTCGACTTGAAAGGGAAACAGTTTCTACTGAAACACGGTGATACTGATAATCCACCGGTCAGCAATGCTTTACATCCAACCTTGCATGTATTAGGTTGTCCGGAAAGTTCTCAGCGTTTTGTGCACCTATTTTTTGTACATTCACTGCTGATTAAAAACTCATTCTGCCTTGCTTCTCAGTAGCACATCCTGTAGAGAATTTCTTGCGCTATCTGATGGTATAATTGCCGTTTCACCATTGCTTGATAAACCCCTTTTTTCAAGATTTTTTCAAGCATGTGAAAAGAGCACTTCGGACGATTTTTTTTCTTCGACTATAAATTGGGGCAATCCGCAATCGAAACAGCTCGAACAAATTAACCAGGTGTGGGGCCCAATAGTGCTTGGAGAAAGCACCGTGCGACAATGGTTCGACAAATTTCGTTCTGGAGATTTCAGCCTTGAAGATGAACCTCGTAGCGGTCGACCTAAAGCAATATCTGACGAGGATTTTAGGGATTTTGGGCTGACCCATCCCAAACAGTTCGAGAGATAGCAGAAGAGCTAGGCCTTGGCAAATCCACTGTTGCAGATGGTCTGGAACGCATTGGGAAGGTGAAAAAACTCGACAATTGGGTGCCCCACAATCGGAGTGACCGGCAGGAATCGGCACGTCTCGAGGTTCCTTCTGCATTGCTTTTGCGCAGCAGAAACGACCTGTTTTTGGGCCGAATTGTCACCTGTGATGAAAAATGGGTCATGTATGATAACAGGAGACGTTCCGGACAGTGGTTGGATTTCGACCACCGAGGTAATTTTCAAAGCCGAACCCTCACGAAAAAAAGATTCTGGTCACGGCTTGGTGGTCATCGGCTGGTGTGATCCACTATAACTTTTTATCACCAGGCCAAACCATCACAGCAGAAGTGAAGAAATCGACGAATTGTACCGAAAATTTTGTCAGATGCAGCCAACACTTATCAAAAGAAAGGGTCCGATTCCTTTGCATGACAACGCCCGCCCACACGTTTCACAAATCACTATCCATAAATTGAACGAATTGGGGTTGAAGTTCTACCTCACCCCATATTCTCCAGACCTTTCACCAACCGACTATCACCTTTTCTAACATTTTCAGAACTCCCTTGCTGGAAAATACTTCATCAATCAGGACCAGGCAAAAAAGCCTTCGTGGATTTCGTGAATTTTCGACCACCCAGTTTTTTACTTTGATGGGATTTCTCAAAAAGTGTCACATTAGCAAAAGCGTGCTGATTCGAATGGTGCCTATTTCGATTAAATCCGATGAGTATTAAAAAAGTTACGATCGTTTAAAGTGAAACACCCAAAACGCTGAGAACTTTCCGGACAACCTAATACAACAAGCTTTGCCAACCCACAAACCTTTTTGGATGTCGCCATCTGCAATGATCGCATACTCGCAATGAGCAGTCCAAACTTTTATGAGATAAGTTTTCATTCAAAATTCCATCGGAACTTGAAACCGTTTTCTTGTTAGTGGCTGTTGGCATGGGTTGGGTTTCTAGTATGGCTCGTTCGTAAGAGGGGAAAATATAAAGTGAACGGGCTTTTGAGTGAAAGTGCATTTATTTCAGTGGTAGAGAACTGAAACGTACCTTATTTTCCAAAGTAACTTGGATGATCTTCCCAGTGTTTTCCCAAAATTCAATATTTTTGTAATCCGTCAAAAAGGGAGCTTCTCACTTGCATCTGTTGCCACTTTGGCATCACTGCGATGGAGTTTACATCGTTGCAAACTTTCTGCTCCACATGCTTTCTTTTAAAAGTTCAAGCGTTCAAATATCGCTCGACACTAGGTCTGGGTTATAAAAAGGGTGTTCAGCACAAATTCTAACTACTTCATTGGCTCGCCGTCAGCGTCCGTTTGGGAAGGTAATATGCTACAAGGTGGGAGATCATCGCAGTTTTCCACAACCCTTGGAAATCTGCGCTGTTTTCGAACGTATACACTCCACAGTAGCTCTATCTTTTCTTCCTTTGTTCTTGATTTCGAAATGATTGGTTATCCGATGAAAAATCATTGCTGCCGTGCAAAATTGGTCGCACATCCAACGAAATGACCCTTTCCCAACAGTATCAAAAAATATGAAGTGTTTGGATGCACTGGAGTCCCTAAGGGGCACGACATGGAAACTGGGTATGTTTCAGTTTTCTATGGTTAGAATCTGTGCACCCTTTCTCAGATATTTCTTTACGCTGTGACTTCCTCACGTACTTTGTTCTTTCCTATATTGCACTAAATGTCGTTCTCGAGAAAACATAATTAAACAATACTCACTGAGTCGCAACCCTTTCCCAGTGACAGGTTCTGCATTCTCCCTTTCATTCCAGGCTCAGACCAACAGCCTTCTCCTTTGAATATTCGTATACGACTGGTAGCAGTCGAGTCCTCATAGAAGTCCACGCACGTGCGAGCCCTAATGTAACTCATGGCCACCCTAACGACGTCACGATCGTGTTTCGCTGAGAATTTTGTCCATGTGATTAGTAGAACATTACAGCTTTCACTTGAAGTTGAAAATTTAATTACCGAGGCTGGGGTCAAGCTCGTAGAACACCTTGCTCGCGTTCCAAAGATGAGTACTCTTCTTTATTTGACGCTTATGACGGAACCCGTCGTCTTCATCGCGCTGTTTGCTGAAATTCACATGCTACCTGCATATTATGCTGCTGAAAGTGAAGACAAACAGCTCTACAAGATCAATCCGAAGACTTAACTGCGTCATTGCAAAAAAAGACCCCAAAGGATCGAAAGGCTTAACCTTGCGAAAACTACATTGCCTTCTACCAGACTCTGGTGGGGAGGACCGAAAACCACTTCTCGGTTTTTTTGAAGACAATGTGCTCTTCCATCGAGTAGCAGAATAAGCAAAATGCTGACCACGCTACTGCTGGTGCTTTCCAGAACCATTCCTGAAGCGGTGTTTGAATTCAGAAAAAACTTCGTAACGTCAAATAATCGTTTATATATGGAGCAAAAAAAATTTGAAGTAGCGCGGCAACGTTCAAATGCTCCTAACCTACATTTGTTTAAAGACACATGGTACGCTCAAACACATTGAGGGTGTATGAGACTATCAGCCCCCCAGCTGTCGATGTGTCGTGGTCCCCCCGCCCAAAACTGCACGGGGTCAGAGTACGGGGCCGTGGGAAAGTCGTAATTCCTTGCTACGCCGCCCGTTTTTGCAAACTCACGTTTTTACTAACACCGTCCGCGCGGCGCGGTCGCGTGCAGCTCTCTTGGCTTTTTGCCAAGTTTGGAATACAAGTACAACGCAATTTCTTTATGCGGATAACATTTTAGGTTCTGCAAAATAAGAACTGAAGATGATGACGAGGGCTAGAACTCAAGAGCAACTGTGCTGCTTCTGCAACAGCCCTCGCAGGCCGCGCATTCCACAAAACATCAAAATGAAACGGCCTAAGCGTCCCACTCGTTAGTTTGAAGTATTTCTATAGCATTAGAGCCGGATTCGAGCCGGATCGCAGAAATGCACACGCGATTTTAATTTATTGCGTTTCCTTAGTTTTTTCAATTTTGTTTTATTTACATCTACATTCGTTGTTGTTCATTTCTAGCCTTTGTCATCTTCATCACCTTCTATTCGGACTTTGAAGCATGAGCAATACCTCAAATGTTAGGAAATTGCGTTTTGCTTGTATTGTCATGTTGTCCGTTTTTATTGTCATGTTCTGTGGGAATGCGCGGCCTCTGAGGGATATTGCAGAAGCACCACAGTTGCTCTTGAGTTCTAGCCCTTGTCATCATCTTCGGTTCTTATTTTGCAGCACCTAAAATGTTATCCGCATAAAGAAATTGCGTTGTACTTGTATTCCAAAGCTTGGCAAAAAGCCAAGAGAGCTGCACGCGACCGCGCCGCGCGGACGGTGTTAGTAAAAACGTGAGTTTGCAAAAACGGGCGGCGTAGCAAGGAATTACGACTTTCCCACGGTCCCGTACTCTGACCCCGTGCAGTTTTGGGCGGGGGACCACGACACATCGACAGCTGGGGGCTGATAGTCTCATACACCCTCAATGTGTTTGAGCGTACCATGTGTCTTTAATAGTCAGCGAACAGCTTGAAAATTCCAATTCTGATGCGAAACAATTTTACACTTCACATCTATTCATAAACTTTTACTGTTTACATTTTTCTGAGTTGCTTTTCACTGAGTGAGTGGTGTCTAGACTGCTAGAGCTCAAGCTTTTTGGAGATGCGACTGGGGATGAGTAGGCCTGTCTAATACCATGAGATGGATGCATATTTTTTATAGATATTCCCGATAACAAGCAAGAAGGGGTAAACCTGTGGTAAATTGTACCACAACGGAGTGCAAAATAAGTCACTATTGTAACTTGGTCGTACCAAGGCATATCTAACGAGAGAGGTCGTTAAGGATATGGTCGGTTTTTGAGAAATGGTTTGTTGCATGATGTAGGGGTCCATGCAGGAACCACAAGGATGAGTTTCATTTTTGCTGGGTGTCACTGTGAATGCCAAAGAAAGAGAAGAATGCCAATTTTTTTTGCTCTTTTTGGCACTCCTACATAGTTCAGCTCAAAAATGAACCACACCCGTGTGACTCATGTATAGACCTCCACAACATGCAACAAACAGCTTTCCGAAAACTCACCGTGCCGAAACGACCTCTCTCGTAGGTCACTCCGGGATGAGTTCCGCTTATAAGCACGAAGCACGGTTGCTTGGCACTCGGTCTAAAGTGGTACTAGCATGGGTGCTAGGGGATGAATGGCGAAAAAGCGAACCGAAAAGCCGTCAAATTGAGCAAAAAGCCTCTGTCTTACATGACTCGGGATGCAACGTTCAAGAGACATCTCGGGTACTTCGCAAATGAAGCTATACGAGCATCAGGATCGGTCGGACATTTGTGGGCGGGCGAGCGCGGTGGGCGTCCGGGTCGGTATGTTGCAGCTTGATAGGGCGCTATAAGGGTACCTTCCTTGGAAAAGGCGCCACGCAGCGCCTGCTCAGGGGCACCGAATTCTGTCCTACTAGGCGTATATTCGGGATTTATGGCGCCACTTGCCTTTAAGATTTCATTGAGAGGATGAAAAGCATAATCTGCATATCGCTGTCTGCAGCAACGAATTATCAGAAACACTGTGTCGATACTGGAATCCTAGACGTGATAGCTACGAGTCGATTACCGTGTGCATTCCAGAAACAGCGGTTGCCAACAATAAGCATGAGAACCTCCCTCTTTCTTCAATGGATGTCAGTAAAACGTTGATCTTAATGAAAGAAACTGGAAGGCTAAAAGAAGCTAAAAAAAGGTGAAGGACTCTGAGATTGCCTCCCGTTTTATACCTTGATTTTGCTCGGCGTTTTGATTTATCATACATGAATATTGGCTTTATCTTGATATATTTCTTTCATAATGAACATGAATCGTTGGTTCAGTGGCATTCTTCTAAAGAGGTTATATCACAATTTCCACCAAAGTTTTCATTCGTCACTTTCGATTATTGGCAATTTTGGCTTAGAATATGATTCACCCCTTCAATCACGTCATTCCTGCTCAGAAATAAGTTTTCACTGAAGGATGTTGCGGAATGAACGATGGCGGGGACAGGGTACAGCATCGTTGTGCGAAACCCATAGGGGGTCGTACTTGGCCGCTGGGGAGGGGGGGGGTCGTAATCTCAAGGGTCACTCAGAGCCGAGCAATGCTTCGACATTTCAGTTGATAGTGGGAGTGGAGCTATGGAAGTCAAGATGTTAAAAAAAATAAATAAGTGTCAGTTTATAGCATGAACTCGTAAGTACGTAGATGACTAAATAATACGTCTCAAACAGATTCGTGCGTGTTGTCCTTTACAAACCCTAAACAAACATCTGCTTGCATGGATAAAAGCACCTGAAATCAGAATTTACACCTTTCCACCACCTCTCCGTAGGAGCCTAATGCACGGCGCACGGACCAAACCGATTAGTGATAGCCGAGCTCCTCTTCCACTCATTTGAAGGGAAATATGTATTTTGGAGGCACACTGAAAGGTGTATCCTCACAATGGCACATAAGGAGTCAATTTTTCGGGTGGTCCAGGGGGTAGCGCAAGGGTAACCCATCTAAAATATCTCCTGAACTAGTGGGTCTTCAGAAAAACCGTGAAGCTTGTTGGAAAGAGAAAGGATGGAGGGGTTTCAGGACGTTTTTAATCCTGATGAAATTGCGTTTGAACGAAGCAATCCTCGCGTGAAGCATGGAAACCAGCTCGCGATTTACCCCTAGCCTATCCAAAACCCATCCGGAATATTTCACCAACGGGGGATTGTTCAGTTTGCAACTAGGTAGAATACACAACAGTAGAAACTTTGCCGTTGCATGCTGCTCACCATTCCTCAAAAGCTCCGCACCTAAAAAAGATATAACCCCCGAACAGACCCCAGGACGTTGGCAAGTCCAACAACCGCTCCAATGACGTTTTTCCAAAGAAAGCGGTCGCAGCCTTGCGCCCTGCAGCCTGATCGATAATAG